AAACGATAGACATTTTTATATTGTCATCCGATATATATGGTTATATCGAACAGCCCTAATATATATAACACATACATATATATATTTTTTACATTTCTTTTAAGGAAGAAGGGCTGCATGGATGACCGCTGCTGACGGGATGCCCTTAACTGGAACATGTAGAAGTATAAAAACCAAACAACAAAACAACTCCCCCCCCTTCCCCCCCAAAAAAAGGAAAAAGAACAAAAAAACACCACAAGAAACAAATAATATCTAGCAATATTTACTTGACTCTGTTTTCTGAACAATACATTTTGCATTGTTAGAAAAACAGCAAGCAAAGCTAAATAGGTAAGAGTGTAACTGATGGTAGCAAAAAAGTAACACCATGCATTAGTTAACTGTAACTCCCACAAACACAAAGTCATTGTGCCATTTTATAACCACATCAACGAAAAACAGCATGATTAAGGGATGGTCACAAGTTCCTCCTGTATATCTACCGCAATGTTTAACAACTAACCTTTGTCTGTATCAGAGCAACCAACAGTACATTCAAGACAACTGTCTTATGACAACGGACCCACAATGTACTTACAAAGCCTGGAACATGTGCAACACCTGTAAAATATTTCTAAGAATGTAGCTATCTGACTTTGCTGTACCACAAATCAACCGAAGCATGAAGGACAAACACAAAACTACAGAAACTTTCCAAGTACTAGACGACTTAAGCAGAATGACAACTAAAGTTTATATTACTTACTAGTTAGTCGGCTGCTAGACTTCAAGCTGGTACAAATGAAGACAGCTCAGTTGCACTGCCAACTTTTGAAACACATGACTGATTTTTAAATATTACTTATTTTAAAAGCGCTTTGTATCTATCACCTCCATACTTGCAGTCTTACTCACAAACTTGCACAAACTTCAGCTTGTGTTTTTGTAAATTTTACCTCGACTAGAATCCACTCTGAGCCAACTCTTGCTTTTTTTAATGTGCAAGATAAATAGCTTGACTAGTACGCTTTAAGGAGGAATTGTAATGTGTTATCACAGTTGATTTCACATATATATTTTTGACAGGCCTCATCACTACAGTACACATTATATTCAAAGAGCCTCATATATACTTAACCATGTCCCTTACAATAGTAAGTACAAAAATCCAACACTATTAACCAATATTATCATGTCTATATCAGTATTACTGTATACACCATCCAATCAAAGTCTCTGTAAGTAAAACCAAAACACTAAACCACCTGAAGCTTAAACGTGCAGAAAAGCAATCTTAACAAACTACCATTTGTTTTACACAGCCATGGTGAGTGTGTTTAAATATGAATCATTACAACCCAGCCCATGTATCACAACTCCCAGGTTAGTTTGCCAAGTATTTTTAATAGCGCTCTCTCTCGAGCCTTGACAAGCAGTGAATCCACGTTAGAAACAGTACAAGAAGGATAAAGATCACTGATGTGTGTACTGTTAATGTTTGCCATACTTTACTCTAGATTTCATATTACAAATATTATGCACTTTAGTAACATTTTACATTTATTCAAATATTCACTGCTGATTCACCAGCAAATTAACTTAGTTATATCAGACTATACTTCTGTCCTAATTTTTGTTGTTTAAAGAATTAAAATTGTTTTTACATAAAATGTAAAGAAAAAAATAGTAAAAGTTAACAATGTATTTATCTTATCAACACATCATATCCCAAAGTATTATTATTTTGCGCCATAGTCAGTAATAAACAGACTGATATCACAGCACCACAGGCGATTAGCCACACCTCTGTATGGAGAGATGGACCTCCACCACCTCCCAACTTCAACTTGAGCGCCTAGAGCCCTGCAGAAACTTAGGTACAACCCTGAGCTGAACTGTACAAGCCACATTCACAGTTCAGTGCCTGTTTATTTATTCCAAATCATGTCATCATTGCAATTATGAACGATTTTATCACATGCTTTACTCACTTATCGCAGGTCTAGCAAGTAGCTCACTAGTTCGTCAAATTAACAATGTTTAGAGTTGCAAAGATTCTATTGTAGGTACTCACTAAAAACGGCCCAAAATCCAGTATCAGTGGTCCTGTTGTAAATAATGAGCAGTGGGAAATCAGTGAAGTGTGGGGAGGAGCCGTACAGTTGTCGCAGCGAAACATTACTGCTAAATATCAATAAATCTTGCCTGTGTACATTAAATTAAATGCCATCTGAATGCCTTTTTGGCTTTGACTAAAGACATTGCACACTAATAGGGGGAACCCTGCCCTTATAACCGCCCTGCATACACATGAGAACATGGAGTACCCAGAGACACTCCAATGCACGTCTGCTTGGAGCATATCGAAGATTGGTAGAGTTACCCACCAAACATTACATTACTAAAATAAGGACGCTCTTTGGCACTTTCTTTAAATATATTACATTACTACAACTACCATGAGGTAGCCGAGCTAACGCTTAAGGTAACCAAGTTACTTTAAAACTTCAGCTCATTGTTTCAGGTTTTATTTTGATCTACCTGTGTAGCATGAACCAACCGGCTGGCTCTGGAAATACCACATGCAGAAATCCCTTCCACTTAACACTGTTCCCTCCACGTAAGGCCCGTTTACTACTGTGTTGATGTGAGCTAACGTTAGCTATTAGCTTCACAGTTAGCTGTCGCTGGAACTGTCAAACTAATGCTAATGACGTTAGCGCAGATACAAGCGTGCTACTTACGTTTTCCTGCTGCTGTGCGATTGTAGATCCAATCCTGATTATCTGCTAAAATCTCAGCTTTCTGTGTGAAGACTCGTCTAGATATATGCGGAGCTAACGTTAGCTTGCTAGCTGTGTTATGTTTCCTTATTTGACAAAAATAATGGAGATTGGCCTCAGATGAGCGGCGATAATTCCTTTCTCGGTGGTTCCCTGCTTGGATAGCGTTGGTTTTTACGCATGTTTGACGCCAATTGTGTCCCTCACAGTAAATGTAGACAATTCCGATCGTTCCCAAACAAACATGGACACTGAGAATTGGTTATATTATACAACACTGACAAATCTAGCACTTTCTTCCATTGAAAGGCCAGAGCTATCCTTCGACTTTGGGTGCTGAACAAGAGGAGGTGTTATTTTTGGCATCTGCTCGATGATTGGTTACAACGGCTAGGCAAAGCGTCGGTTAATTGGCTACTTCTTCCGTCAATTAGCTCTGCCCCTGTGCGATACTACATTCTCATTGGTGCGTTGCGAAGTTCTGCGATATGTCAGACCTTTGAGATGCACTACTAACTGTTACCGGCTTATGCCGACAGTACTTTAAATAGGCGGTGTCAGTCTTAAAATAGAAACTTTCAACTCCGCGTCCAAAGCTGCTCACTAATACTATAAATATATAAATATATTATATATAAAACAAAACAGAGCACAATTGAAATTATGCCATTTGCTTGTCTTTCATGGTTGAAAGTTGCCACACATGAGCCCGAGTGCCCCGGAGTCATTAAGAAGCGCAACTTAAATGAAGCGCAATATGGATGATTGAAGAGCTTCCAAGAGTCTCTAGTATATTCATACACACACAAACACACGCACGATCTAAATTATACCACGCATCTTCAATCAGGAGAAAATCTAATCCAATATAGAGGGTACCGTATATAGGTGTACACCGTATAGTTGATTTCCCTGTCTGCAGCTACATATAATGCAACACTAATCAGGTCTGGTCAGGTCAAGGAAATACAAGGGCACCCATCTCCAGTGTGAACAAGCTCCTTCGACCACCTTAAAACTTTCGACCTCAGTTGTATGGCACTGAACAGAGTAATACTTTTATGTCCTTTGTAAAACTAAAATCAGTAATATTCATCAGCAGCTGGCTCTTAGTAACTCTACTTTTAGGACAGTGTATGAGCCCCCTGTTCTTTTCTTTCTAGTTTCCCGATTCCTGACTGTAGATAAAATAACCAGATTTATTAAGACCTCTAAACCTTCCAACTGTTACTTTGACCCACTTCCTACTTTTGGTTAAACCTTACATTTCTTCTCGCTTTATCCTTTAATAATGAGTATTATGCATTTCGTCTTGATACATTCTCAATCATCCAGGTAAGTAAATCTCCAAAAGTTGATTCTGTTCATCTGGACGTAGCGTTTTCAGTGGGAGAAACGTTTCGTCACTCATCCAAGTGACTTCTTCAGTCTCAGCTGACTGCAGGTTTC